CACACACACACACTCCAGCAGTACGTCCTGCACAGCAGGAGGGGAGGAGGGGAAAAAAAGGCAGAAACACAGCGGGGCAGCTGCAGCCCTAACGGACCAAACTTCAGTCAAACAAGACTCAACACTTTTATTCCTGATTTAAACTAGTGATCTTGAGAGCAGATGCAGCTGTATACTTTAGTTTTTTTTATGTCAGGCTATCGTGGAGCGCTCCACTCCTCTGTCCTGTCAGGCAGACAGCTCAGCTGAGGCTGTCACGTTCTCTCGTCCTGGCCACACCTCCGCTCTCTAACCCCCACTCCACTACCCACACCCCCTCCCCTACCCACTTTGATGCATTYTTCAAATTTCGCCTTGGGGCGGAGTTATCTTTTCACAGGGGCGTAAGATACACTTTAACATGTTGAAGACCCATAAGCTGTGACTGAGACCAAGCTTTCTGACACTGGGCAGCACATTTCTCTAGATTGTCTTGAGATTTCAAATGAAGACCAAAAAGTTTTTTGGGGGGTTGGATATAAGATTTTCCAACTTAGTTAGATGGACAGTTTTTGCAGTGTAGAAATGAATGGAAATAATGGAAGTCAATGGACGGTCTTAATAAGTATAGATATACAAACGTGGGTGTTTTTTGTACTATGAACAACAGTGAAGTCTCATTTTAAGTAAAAGTTTGTCACATTTCTGTAAAAAGTGAAATATTACGTCCAGTTAAATGATTTTTAACAATCCTCTTTGTTTCTCTTTCAGGTTTGTTCAGCTTTGTGTTTGGGTTTATAGGAATGTTGGTGTACGATGGCCAGAGTGTAAAAGAGTCCGGGATGTTTCAGGGCTTTAACACCATCACCTGTRCAGTAGTTGTCCTGCAGGTTGGTTCACTTTAATCAATTTTACTCTTGTGTTTTCATCATTTTTTACAGCTACAAACAAATCAGAAAAAGCTGCTAAGCCTCAACAAGTCTCTTAWCCTTTTCTGTACGCTGACAAGTTCAAACCTACATATTAGTTTGTTTTCCWCTGTCTCTTTGCCACTCGGTCTTGTGTTTCAGACCTGCAGTGTGTCCATAAATCATATTGGAATAATAAAGCTTTCACTTCTTTCTTCCCTCTGACAACACTGGAGCTGCTCAGGCAGTGAGGATACAGACTGATGAAGAGCGTCATCTGCTTCTTCCTGCAGCCACATCTCAAAGGCTCAGCATGGTCACTTTGTAGATTTCTAAGTTTACTCCAGCAAGGTTAAATTTGAAATGGAGTTTTGCGAAGAGATGATATCTTACCTGTTGTAGATAACTCTTAAAGGGATCCCCGATTAGTTGTAACATTAGACTTTATTTAATAAACATATATTTTAACTGTAAAATAAAGACTGTAAAAATACTGTTTAGTTTTTATAATTTCTAAACTAAAAGTTTAAAATATATTACACAAACGGGGCCATTTTATTTTGATGACGTGGATAGGTCATCGGTGCGAGGCTGCTAGCGAGCTATATCCACCCTGAAGGTAAATCTTGGACAATATCTGATGATAGACTCTTTTAAATGAAACCA